CTATTCTATTCTATTCTATTCTATTCTATTCTATTCTATTCTATTCTTATTGCCCTGACACGGAAAGGAAGACGACTTTTCATTTTCCTATTCTTAGCTATCTCTGGCCGTTGAGCATTATAGAGATGTAGAGAGCTAGAGCGGCACAGCTACCTTCCCTGGCCGACGTGGCTTGGTGCGTGACGAGGCTTTATACCCGGACGTGACGTTTTTTTTTTTTTTTTAAAAAGGTCCCTGGGTGGAGCGGAAGGGCAGGAACCGGAAGCTCGGGGCGTCGTCGCCTTAGCAACGCCTTAGCGACGCCGTCCCCGGTGAAGCCGCCGCTGCCATGGCAGAAACGGCGCCTCCTTTGACTCCAGCCCCAACCCCGACCCTGACCCCCACCCCGACGCAGTTGGTCCGGCAGGCCAGCGCTCCCAGCCCCGCCCGGGCCTACCACCTGCGCCCGGCCTTCCACCACAGGTCAGCCCGGCTCTCCTATGCCAGCAGCCCCTTTCCGTGCCTTTCGCGTCTTTTGGGGGGCACAACAGCCCTGCGAGGTAGGCCCTGAGCGAGCCTCGTCCTCTGGGGTGGTGGGGTGGTGGTGGTCTTTGCATGTTTTTGATTTGAATCCCGCCTCCCTTGCTTTTAAAACTCTGGATTTTAATGCCTTTCCTTTCCTTTTATTAAAATCTTTGGTGTTGTAAGGCGCCCAGAATGGTGGATAACAGAGAACGAAACAAAACTTATGTAAAATATAATATAAAACAATATAAAACGAAATATAAAATATAAACAATATAAAACAAAACGAAATATAAAATAATATAAAAAATAAAACAAAACAAAACATATATAAAATATAATATAAAACAATATAAAATGAAACATAAAATATAAACAATATAAAATAAAACAAAATATAAAAATAAAACAAAACAAAATATAAAATAAATAAAACAAAATATAAAATATTATACAATATCAAATATATAAAAAACAAAATATTATAAAATATAAAACTATAAAATATGAAATAAAACAAAATATAATCTTAAGGGAGGCAGAAATGCAGATTTGACATAGACTAACTTAATGGTCACTTTGAATGCACACCAAACAAAATCTCTCTAAAATGTTTTATAGGCGGCACTTGCCAGCAGCAAGATTGGCAAAAATGTTCAGCAATATGTCCACCAAGTGCTGGAAGTGTAATCAGGCCCTAGGTACTTAGTATCATATCTGGTGGACCTGTATGAAAGCAAGAAAGTACTGGGACGGAAATACATACATGGTTGGAAAAAATGATCAAGCAACATATAGATGTGAAACCAGAAATACGTTTGTTGAGTATAATGCCGTAGGGCTATAATAAAGGGACTATATATTTAGCTTTGCATGTATTCACAGCAGCAAGGATTGTATTTGCACAATATTGGAAAAATGAGATGAGGATGTAATTCGGAAAATATTAGACTATGCAGAGATGGATAGATTGACATTAAAAATAAAGCAGAAAGACAGAATATTACTCAACATGGAACAGATTTTACAAGTGGTTAGAGATAAGAGGTAGAAATTAGATGAAGAAAGATTATTGCTATGTATGAATTAAATATAAAGAGGGTTTATAATTATAAATATGCCAATATAATCAACAGAATTACAAATAAACTAATACAAAGAGAAATCTAGTTAAGACTTACACTACTAAATCTAGTTAAGACTTACACTCTTACACTATTACTGTTAATTCTATATGTGTTAATATTCCTGTTTGTTCTTTCTTTGTTTTTCTGTAAATGATATGTCCTGATCGTACACTGTATTCAAAACTTCTATGAAGTAAAAATATGTACACTAAAAAAAATATGAATGTGCACCAAACGGCCTACATTAAAATGACATTTCGTTGCATCCAGTCTCCACCTCTAATACAAACGGGACAAGATAATTAAATAAATAAATACAAAATTATGCATGCAACGCACACATGATATGACACGGAGAAACAACACAGTCTGGTTCGGATCCATACATGTACATGGCAAGAGAAACAAATCTTGCAAGTTTACCCAGATGGATGGCTTCGGGAAGAAAACTGTTCCAGAATCTGGAAGTCCTGCTAGAAATACTTTGAAACCTCCTCCCGTGGACTTGGTAATCCATTCAGAAAGACTGGGTCAGACACAGACTCCAGATAAGCAAGCCAAAGGCTGACAAGATTAGCTCAGACAAACGCTTAGCGTTTTTGCATTTCCCCTTCTGCCTATAGAGCCAGCCATGACCCCATGGGAGTCTGACAACAGCCAATAGCCAATACTAAAAGGACATGTTCTTGCACAGGAACAGGAAGCTCAAATACAAAGGCCAGAGAAGGTATAAAAAAAAACCCACCCACTCTCAACTCCCATTTGGTCAGTTGTCCCAGAACTGCACGCTGTGGTTCTGTTCATCCGTAAACTTAACTTTCTTAAGCAGCCTCCATTTGATTCCCGGTTTGGAACTGGACCTGCATTTTTCTTCCAACAGTGGACGTCCGTTCTTGACTAGGAGCAGGGGGAGTAGCAGCCTCTCCCCGAGGCTACTTGATCTCCAGGATCCCTTCCAGCTCTATTCTGATCGATCGATCAATACCTCTACCAGAGTCAAGAACGCTATGTCCCTCTCTCTCTCTCTCTCTCTCTGTCTCTCTCTTTCCTCTTAGGTTCCGTTCTTCCATGGTGAAAGATTGCATCCGTGAAGTCTTGAAGGAGGAGTTGGCCAACGTGCAGTACAACCCAGAGGAGACCGGAGCCCAAACCAAAGTCTTATCTGAGCTGATCCGGGACCGGCTGAAAGGTCTTCAGATCCACCTGCCTTTGCAGGCACACCCACAAGGACCCCCCCCCCCGGGCTTTCTCCCAACGGGCCGAGGACGGCTGGCCTGATTTTGATCCCAACGAAACACCCTTTCCTTTCCCTTTTTTTTTTTTTTCAGATAAAGGATTTCACCGATATAAAATAGTGGTGCAAGTAGTGATCGGAGAACAGAGAGGCGAGGGAGTGAAGTGAGTTTTCCTTCAGTTAAATGATTCCCCCCCGCGACCCCCAATTTAGGATTATTTTGTCCTATTGGGTTACATCGCAGCTGGGGGGTGGGCTTCAAAAAATTTAGGTTTTCTGCCCGTTTGCCAGTGGTGGGATTCGATGGTTTTTAATACAAGTTCTGTGGGCGTGGCTTGGTGGGCGTGGCAGGGAAAGGATATACTGCCACATCCCCCTTCCCTTCCCTTCCCTCCCCACTAACCTGCTTTCCAGCTCCGTTCTCCCGTGCAGGGCAACCAAAGGAGACCCAGCCGATCAGCTGTGGGCGTGGCTTGGTGGGCGTGGTGTTCTGTGGGCGTGGCTTGGTGGGCGTGGCAGGGGAAGGATGTACTGCCACATCCCCCTTCCCTGCCCACCCCACTAACCTGCTTTCCAGCTCCATTCTCCTCTTCAGGGCAACCAAAGGAGACCCAGCCAATCAACTGGGACTCAATGGGAGGCAGAGAAGAGAGCGGATTGGCAGGGCCAGTCAGAGGTGGGATTGGCTGGTTCTCTGAATGACTCAGAATTTCCTCTATTCGGCTCTCCAGAACCGCTCAGAACTGGCTGAATCCCACCTCTGCCGGTTGCTGGGTGGGCGTGGCCATGATGGGCGTGGCTTAGTCGGCCCCCTGCACCACAGCGAGGGGGGGGGTTCACCCTCTCTGAGCCCCTGTGTGGGCCCTGCCGTTACCTGGGATCCCAAATGGGCCGTGGGGTGACTCCGGGGAGGGGAGGGGTGAACGGAGCCAGCCAGGGGTGGGATTTGCCGGTTTGCCGAATCCGCCACAAAATTAACTTACCGAGGTGAACCAATAGCAGCCCCACCCCTGCATTGCAAGCCGTCCTCAGCTTCCAACCTTTCTTTTAGTGGCCGTTTGAAATTGCAATGGCCCTGACAAGTGATTTATGACCGCTTTTCACACTTACGACCCTTGTGTCAACTCACCACATATTTCTCTGGTCTTTTTAGAGTTGCCAACAGAAAGGGAGGGGGGAGCAGTGCAGCAGCTTGCAAACCGAAAGTGCATTCCATAAATGTTTTCAAAGATAGTAACTAGGTGACTGAAGTTTCTGCTACTGGAGAGCCTGATTGATGACTCTGGGCTTTGGAGGTGTCCCATTGGAGAATACGAATTAAGATACACCCAGGGGGTTGGGGGGGAAACCAGGGTCAAGGGTGACAAGGAATGATGTGCCTCAGATTCGGCTACACCCAGGCAGTGCCGGACATGTTAACTCCCAATAAATCCTTTTTTGAAGTTTTGGAGGTTTGGCTCAAGACTCATGATTTAATTGGGGTTAAGTGCTAGAATCCTGACATGTTGCAGCATTCCCCAGGGTGATGTGATCAAAATCCAGGCGCTTGGAAACTGGCATGTACTGTTGCAGTGTACCGGAGTCATGTGAATCCCCTCTGGCGACTGTCCGACGAGCAAAGTCAACGGGGAAGCCAGAATTCACCTAATAACCATGTTCCTAACTTAACAACTGCAGTGATTCACTTAACAACTGTAGCGAAAAAGGTCGTAAAATGGGTCAAAGCTCACTTAATAAACGTTTCATTTAGCAGACATATTGGGCTGAATTGTGGCCATCAAGTCAAGTACTACCTGGGTTCTCTGTAGAATGATCTGGGTAGCTTTCCTATTAGCTTGAGAGATTTTCTCCTTTCATTTTAGAACAGGGATCGCCAACCTTTTGGACCACCAAGCTCATCATTTTAAATCCCGCGGACCAGAGACCCTGGGAAAATCCCCCCAAAAGTCTGCAGGAAAATCCCCCACCCCGTTTTCCTACCGATCGATCGTTCTTCATTTGGGATCGCAGGATCCCAAATAAATCGCAGCTCCATTCTCAGGGACAGAGAGAGAGAGACTTTTGGCTCCATGCAAGGAAAGCAGCAGAAGCTGCAGAAGTCTTCCTTTCTCTCCCCCAAACTCCGCCAGAAAGGAGTCTTTGTGAGACTTGTCATGCCTCTTGGAGCAGGAGGCCTTGCAGGGTCCCAAAGACTCACTTCTGGCGGAGTTTAGGGGAGAGAAAGAAAGACTTTGGCTGCTTTCCTTGTGTGCAGCCAAAAGCAGAAGAAGAAAGAAGCGGAAAGAAGCAGCCCGGTGGCCAGGCCAGACACGTGGGGTGAGTGGGGCAAGTTCCCCTCCTCCATCCTTTCCCCCCTCCCCTCACTACCTCGTGTTGTGTACAATGCAAGCGATGCAAGCCTTGTGTTCCCACGGTCCATGTGGGCAACGCAGCCTTGTGTTCCCACATAGCCTGGATTAATTGCTTTGGGGGGTGGGGACATTTCTCTGCGGACCACCAAAATTTTCTCATGGACCACCAGTGGTTCCTGGTCCCCCAGTTGGTGACCACTGTTTTAGAATGTATCCATTCAAATTTCCATAGTTTTTATATTAGGTGACTAACATTTCTTAACATATTGATCTAAGATAGATTTTTAAAAAATATTTAAAATTTAAAAGACAGCTTATGAAGATTCCTCCCTCGTGCAGGAGGCCAAATATCGGTAACTCTGGTAGTAGTTAGTCCTCATCTCACGATCACAATTGAGCCCAAAATTGGTCTCATTAAGCAAGGCAGTTGTTGAGTTAATGTCCCCCCGTTTTACGACTTTTCCGGCCACAGGTGTTAAGTGATTCACTACAGCTGCTAAGTGAGTAACCCGGTTGTTAAGTGAATCTGGCTCCCCCATTGAGTTTGCCCGTCCGTCGGTCGCCAAAGCGGATCATGTGACCCCGTCATCAATACAATCCAGTCACCGCGCAGCTCAGTTTTGATCTCGTGACTGTGGCGGTAGGCGTGAAAACGGGTCATTGGTCACTTTTCTCAGCTCTTTTGCAACTTCAAATGGTCACTAAGTGAATTGTCCTAAGTCGAGGGCTGCCTTATTCTTGGGAACTGTAGTGGTATAACTGAAAGTTAGAACTGGGATGGAAATTGGAGAGAGGGGAAATAATGGAATACATTTCCTTAATAATAAGATGATTGAATCCCACCCGCCGGTATGACTGCTGAAAAAATACAGTTACGACTGGTCTTCAAACTAGCAACCATTAAAGCGCCCCGTGGTCATGTGATCATCATTTTTAATCTTTACTGCCGGTCTCTGACACTGGGGAAGCCAGCAGGAAATTGCAAGTCTTAGTCAATTTGATGTTGCACTCAACGACCCCTGGTGACTCACGTAACGACCACAGTGGAACATCAATATCATAAGTTTGGCATGTTAAGAAAAAGAAAGGAAACTAGAATTTGAATGAGGGGGATATTAAGTATATTTGAATAATGTGAGGATTAGCATAAAAGAACTAATATAATGAAATATTGAATATATAAATGAATAGAAGACCATAATGGAATATAAGGAGATGTATTAATGCTAGAATGAAATAAGATTTGGCCGGGGGGGGATAGCTAACTTGATTATTAACACGTTATTGGACGTAAAAGGAAGATATTTGAATATAAGGATTGGTATGCAAATTAGATACTGAAATATTGAAAACCAATGAGAAATTTGGAAGTAATAAATTTAGGTAGGAATATTAGAAATTTATAAGTTTATTAAAGCTAAATATATTATTACATTAATTGTAATAAAATGTAAAGCACCCAGGTGTCATATTGTTCACACATTGATCTGTATGTAAAATAAAAATATATAACTTTTATCAGCAGTCTTAAGACTGCCTGAACTTTCTCTTTTTACTAGCTGTTTCCCTCTTTTATTTCCTTTTTAGCATGGCTGCCCGTTGTTTTTGGGACGCTGATACCGATAACTACGCTCAGGATGTTTTCATCAACGTAAGTTTTTTCCATTTTCATTTTTTGAACCAACGCTCCTCACCAGGTAGCTCTTAAAATGTGGGCTGCCAGCAACACACCAGAGGGGAGCGTGTCAATCCGACTTGTGTGTATCTCTCTCTGCGTTGCCATGAATTGCTTTGGAACAAACGCGGGTCTCTTTTGTTGTGCCTGTCAGCAGATCTTTAAAAGAAGCCAGGGGTTTGGGGGGGCTTGGTGGTTTTCTTGCAAGGAGGTTTGCTCTTCCTTTATATGCCACTGGCTTCTCCAACTCAGACAAATCAGAAGAAAACAACGCTCCCACCAACACTTGTACATAAACAGAGAGCAAGCCCCACTCCCTTCTAGCACTGAGGACGTCCCCTGGTTTGGTAATGAAATGTCTGCAAGTAAACAACCCAGCTCACAAAGTACCAAAGACCCCATGGTTGTCACCATCGTCTTCCTCTTCCTCCTAAACCCCTCTTCCTTCTAGCACTGATGATGTTACCTGGTTGGGTAATGAAATGTCTGCAAGAAAACAACTCAGCTCAGAGAACACCAAGATCACACACTCCTCCTCCTCCTCCTCCTCCTCTTCCTCAAACCTCACTCCCTTTTAGCACTGATGATGTTACCTAGTTGGGTCTTGAAATGTCTGCAAGAAAACCACCCAGCTCAGAGAACACCAGGACCACACAATCCTCCTCCTCCTCCTCCTCCTCCTCCTCCTCCTCCTCCTCTCCACAAACCTCACTCCCTTTTAGCACTGATGATGTTACCTAGTTGGGTCTTAAAATGTCTGCAAGAAAACCACCCAGCTCAGAGAACACCAAGACCACACAATCCTCTTCCTCTTTCTCCTCCTCCTTCTCCTCCTCCTCCTCTTCTCCACAAACCTCACTCCCTTTTAGCACTGATGATGTTACCTGGTTGGGTAATGAAATGTCTGCAAGAAAACCACCCAGCTCAGTGAGTCCCCAAGGATCCCATAATTCACCCCATCAGCTACAAGTGTTCTCTTCTTTTTTAATTATTTTAAAAATAAACTTTATTAAAGATCAAAAAGAAAAATATATAAAATACGACATTTCATTATAAGCGAAATCAGTATACCAATACATAACAAGTGAATATAATATATATATATATTTCTAATCAGCTAAGGCGGTGTGATCTTTTCTTGAAAACAATTTTACTATTTTACTCTCTTCTAACGGTACCTGCTTCTTTTCCTTATTAAGAAAAAAAACAACACCCCATGCTGGTTCTGTCCAGTTGCAGCTTCACTCACAGCCCTTCCCTTGATCTCCCCCAGGAGAGCCTCTTCTGCGTCGCCGTTGCCTTCGGCTGCTTCTTCTACTAAAGCCGGCTGCAAGCTCCCCAAGAAGGACGGCGTTTATCTTGAAGATCCTGAAGGAGCAGGATTGCAGGCTGCTTTTCCTTTCCTCCCTCTGCACCTGCACGTTCATGTGTGTGTGTGTATATATATATATATGTGTGTGTGTGTGTGTATGTATAGTTCGCTGTGTGAAATATAGCTTCCAAAGGACATTTTTAAACTAGCCCAGGCTCCTGCTAATGCTGTGGTGTACATAAACAGAACTCCAGCACAATTCCCTTGGAAATGGAGAACCGCCACTGTTCACCTTCCGGTGGGTTGTATAAGCGATTTCCCTCTTGAATTGCTCCCTGCGCTTAGTGACATCTGCACGAGCTACCAAATGCAGCCCTTAATATTTATTTTTTAATAATACTTTAGTGGGGTTTTTTTTCTTTTTTACATACCTCCATTACTTAATAAACAGTGCTGTGATATTTTGTGTACGTTCACATCGCCTCTCCGATGCAATCTGTACGTATTCTTTCTATGCCATCTACATCTATTATAGACATTATGTACATTTTCTTTTCTTGTTTCTATCGTCGATCCACTGATACCAGTCTTCCCATATTGCATAATGTTCTAATTCCGTGATTAGTTTATCCATTTCGGCGCACTCATAATTTTTTTTTTTAAATTACTAAACCTTCAGGTGGTGTGGTGTCTTTTCTTCCAATACTGCGCAAAGGAAATTCTTGGCTGCTGTTAATACATGTAACGCCAGATACTTTACCTTTCTATTGTAATTTCTTTTCATTATCCCTAAAAGAAAATAATTCCATGACAAAATCAGTTTTGCTTCCAGTTAACTCCTTGGGGTTCGCCGGCAGCAGGTGCGGAAGGAGAGCGAGGACTCAGATGAGGGGCCTGCGTGTGATGCAGGGATGGGGCCAGGACCCTCAGGGAGTGGAGCCTTCGGAGATTATGGAGGCTGGCAGCAATGAGGAAGAGGCCCCCGAGGAGCCTGTGCCCAGTACAGTTGTTAATAAAAGTTACCCTTGTCCTTGCAAATCCATTGCACATGTCTCAATATATATATTTTTTCACACAGGACCCCAAGCCAAAGCCCATCAATGTGGAAACACACTGTTTTGCCACAGGCATCTAAATTATAATTGGAATCAGGGTTGTTCCCTCTTCCATAAATTTTGCTTAAAACGTTTTTTTTTTTCATTTTCAATCTATTGTAGAAAATATTCTTCCTCCTCGGAGAGTGCATTCGTAGCTGACTTCATCATGGAATAAACCTTCACCGTGGGCAGAGAAAAAGGCAACACGGCCTGTTATCTTAGCTATCAGATTCCAAATCATCTAAAGCGTTTTAAAAATCCGTGTGGGTGGATGGGTGGAGGTTTTTTTTAGTATTGAGCATTTTTTAAAAATATTTGCATTAATCTGACAAGGAAATACTGCAACCCAGCTTAGACATTTTTCCAGTCCGCTTCATAGTTTCCATTGCAAATTATCATAATCAAGTCACTTGTCCTCCTCAGGCAATTAGCAACAACTGATAATTGCTTATCTTCATGTAATTAAAACTTGAGCAGGAATTCACACACACTACCCTTTTGAAGGTGATCTTCCTACGTTGGAGATCCTACTAATGTTCAAAGACAAATTTTTGTGCTTAGGCAGAATTATTTTGAGGGCCAAACGGGGCATTCTAATGTTTTCAATTCGGAAGAGAGCTGGAAGAGACCTCAGAGGTCTTCTAGTCCAACCCCCTGCTCAATGGTTTTCCATGGTTGTCCCGTCTCTTCTTGAAAATCTCCAGGGTTGCAGAACCCACAACTTCTAGAGGCAAGTCGTTCCACTGATTATTTTTTTCTCACTGACTAGGAAATTACTCTTTAGTTCTAGGTAATTGGACAATGTCACTCACAGCTTCCTCCTTCGTGCAATGGAACACAGTGACATGGAAGATGCCACTACCAGAGAGATTTGCAACTTAGTAGGACTACCAGAGAGATTTGCAACTTAGTAGATTTGCAAACAGTAGTCACTGTTTGGTTTTCCTGAGCAGGAGATCAGATTAGAAGACCTCTAATGTCTCTTCCAACCCTATGATTAGAATAGAGTAGAGTAGAGTAGAGTAGAGTAGAGTAGAGTAGAATAGAATAGAGCAGAATAGAATTCTTTATTGGCCAAGTGTGATTGGACAAACAAGGAATTTGTCTTGGTGCAAATGCTCTCAGTGTCCATAAAATAAAAGATACATTCATCAAGAGTCAAGAATCATCAGGTACAACACTTAATAGTCATAGGGTACAATAAGAATAGAATAGAATAGAATAGAATTCTTTATTGGCCAAGTGTGATTGGACAAACAAGGAATTTGTCTTGGTGCAAAGGCTCTCAGTGTCCATAAAAGAAAAGATACATTCATCACAGTCAAGAATCATCAGGTACAACACTTAATAGTCATAGGGTACAATAAGAATAGAGTAGAGTAGAATAGAATAGAACAGAATAGAATTCTTTATTGGCCAAGTGTGATTGGACATGCAAGGAATTTGTCTTGGTGCAAATGCTCTCAGTGTCCACAAAAGAAAAGATACATTCGTCAAGAGTCAAGAATCATCAGATACAACACTTAATGATAGTCATAGGTTACAATAAGCATGATTCTATTTTGTACATTCTATGACTACAACATGGGTCTCCACAAGGGAGAAGAGGGCGGGTTAATCTATTGACGTCTCAAGGCAAACTGTTCCACTGGTTAGTTGTTCTCACTGTCAGACAATTTAACAAACTGAATAGGCCTCTCCACACATCATCCTTAGTGAAGCATGCAAACCAGTGTCTACATTTCCTATGTCAGATGAGGAGAACACATCTCTCTCCTGTCCTGGCCACTTTTACAGAGGCACAATGGAGAGCGTCTTAACAAACCGTTTCCCTGTTTGGTTTGGTGGCAGCAGTGCCTCACATAAGAGAAAGTCCCTACAGAGAGTGGTGAGGACAGCGGAGAAGATTATAGGAAGCTCACTTCGCGTTATTCAGGATTCTGCTTACAAGCGCTATGTAGTTAGAGCTCAAAGCATTGTTAGAGACCCCGTACACCCGCTTCCTACTTTGTTTCTGTTGTTCCCCTCTGTGACGAGGTTTCAAAATATTTCTAGCAGGACTACCAGATTCTGAAACAGCTTTGTTCCTTATACCACCTGTCTGGCAAACTCGCAAGATGTTTCTCTTGCAATGTACTTGTATATATTCGAACTAGACCGTGGTGTTTGTCTGTGTCCTGTAATATATGTTGGTACATGCATATTTTTGTATTTATTTATTTTGTCATGCTTATGTAGTGTACATTAGAGGTGACAACCCTTTGAGAGCTGCATGCAGCGAAATTTCATTTGAATGTGTGCCAATTAGTGTACGTTCAAAGTGACAATAAAGTTATTCTAGTATGATTTGATTCCTTATTGTACCCTGTGACTATTATTAAGTGTTGTAGCTGATGATTCTTGATGAATGTATCTTTTCTTATATGTACACCGAGACCATTTGCACCAAGACAAATTCCTTGTGTGTCTAATCACACTTGGCCAATAAAGAATTCTATTCTGTTCTATTCTATTCTATTCTATTCTATTCTATTCTATTCTATTCTATTCTATATTCTATATTCTATATTCTAAGTATTCTATTGTATTCTGTTCTATTCTTCATTGCAATATTTTTCTATTCTGTTCTGTTCTATTCTATATTCTATTCTATTTTATTCCTATTCTATTCTATTGTATTCTGTTCTATTCTTCATTGCAACGTTTTTCTATTCTATTCTATTCTATATTCTATTCTATTGTATTCTGCTCTATTCTTC